CAAGCCATCTTCAATGTGAAAACGACAGGTGTGGGTTCATCTGGAGGACACTGGGGTTATGTGCAGGACCTGTTATTTTATGCTAACCTATTTTAAGCGTTAATGTTTACAGACCGCATGTGTTGTTAATGCTCCTCTGCTTTCCAGTGATGACTTTTGACATCAAAGTCACACAAGAGACCAGAAGAATGATGACTGCACTTTTTTATTTTAGATTGTTATATACTAAAGCAACAGCTGCACAGATTATGTGAGAAAATGTGTAATAAAGCCTCACATAGGCTACTGTAAATGTGTAGCATAGCCTCAGACACGCTACTGTTAATGTGTGATGTAGCCTTATAGAAGTTACTGTAAATGTGTAGTATAGTCTCAGATAGGTTACTGTAAATATGTAATGTAGCCTTATAGAGGTTACTGTAAATGTGTAATATAGCCTCAGATAGGCTACTGTAAATATGTAGTATATCCTTAGATAGGTTACTGTAAATATGTGGTATAGCCCCAGATAGGTTACTGTAAATATATAATGTAGCCTTATAGAGGTTACTGTAAATATGCAGTGTAGTTTCAGATAGGTTACTGTAAATATGTAGTATAGCCCAAGATAGGTTACTGTAAATATGTATTGTAGCCTAAGATAGGCTATTGTAAATGTGTAGTATATCCTCAGATCACTGTAAATGTGTAATAAAATCTTATAGTGGTTATTGTAAATGTGTAGCACAGCCTCAGATAGGCTACTGTAAATGTGTAATGTAGCCTTACATACACTGCTGTAAATGTGCAATATAGCCTCAGATAGGTTACTGTAAATATGTGGTATAGCCTCAGTTAGGTTTCTGTAAATGTGTACTATAGCTTTACAGAGGTCACTTAAATGTGTAGTATAGCCGCAGATAGGTTACTGTAAATGTGTAGCATAGCCTCAGATAGCCTAGTTTAGTAAAGCCTCAGAAAGAGTACTATACATTTATAATATAGCCTCAAATATGTTACTGTAAATGTGTAGTATAGCCTTACATAGGTTACTGTAAATGTGCTCATGTTGCTGCAGTGGTCAACTTGTCCACTGTACTTCATCAACATGAATCTATTTAGCCTGACATTTCTCCTTCAGCATGATGGCTGTGTTACTACACATCTGAGAAGCCACGTATGTCTTTCCATCCTGCCACAGTCTTGAGCAAATCTGTAATAATGCTGAATGATTGTCTACTTGACCCTGAAACCAACGCCCCTTTAGAAATTGCAGGAAACATACTGAAAGCTGCTCCAGAATCATTCCAGTTTCATCCGTCCTATCCAGGACTGCTATGTCCTAAGGGTTGTGTCTTGGTGCGTGGCCATCCATTTTTGCACAGATCGCAGTCTGGCAGGTGAAGATGAAGCACCTTTAGAGCAAGGGTTACATAATGTAATGACACAGACAATCATCCATCATTGGTAAATCAGGACAGATTGGCCCCAGATTTGAGCTTCTCCCCTCATTCATCTTCCAGCATTGCCCCATAAGACCTGATAGAGGTTATATTAAGTGAAGGGTCACAATGTTAGAAGATGCACTAAAGAGCTTATCTGAGACCATTCTAGTGTTTAGAAGGGGTCTGCACAGGGGAGACAGTGGTAGACTATCTTGTGACTGAAGATCAACCAATAACAGCTAACAAGGCCAATGGTTTACTTAAATTGCAGTGCAATGAAATGGAAGCATGTTCTGCATTCAAATGAAAGCACTGCAGACAGAGTCTAATTCTGAAACTTTGTGCATTTTTAACTAAAGCAGCCTAACCCTCCAGTGAATTTGAATGTTGATTTCTTCCAGCCTGGCTGTGGAGAATGAGAGAATGATATAGTTTATAATGCCAGAACACTAATTTCCCCTGGTCATTAAAGGTGAACGCTTCCGTATACCATCAGTGCACTCGAGCAATCTCAGGCCCTATTGATTATTCCCCTATCTTTGCCTTATGGAGGTAAAAAGGCAGAGGCTGAGAGATGTAATGATATTACCAAAATGGAAACCTTTTTAGAGCGAGAGCTAATGGTCTGTGCCTGGGTGAGGAGAGGGCCCAGCAGCGAGAAAAATAACAGAACATTGTGCATTCCTTGTAATGGAGATGCTGGAGAGATGTCAGGACATTTTTCATTTCTCTAATGTTAATGAGAAATGTGTTGCAACCTCTGAAAGGGTGAATAATTTCAGCTCACATATAATGTGTAGCCCACACATCTCAGCTGCACTTGGAGTGGCTTTATACCAAGTCTTACTATTCTTGACTGTGTGACTGTTTTTAATACTGGAAACTAAATTCTTTTTTTTTCAGTTGATTTTAGCGATTTGATGACATCCACAGATGTACACTGTAAAAAGAAGACAATTGTGACAGTGTGAAAGCGCAGAATTCTACATGATTTTCTACATTATTTTCTCTTTTATTATAGGCAAAATACAACAGAGAAGATTAAAGAAATGGTTCGGAAAAAACTAAGTTACGTAAGTTTTCATTTGTAGTCATTTGACATGTTTGGTGTCCAAATGTTGCTTCTGTAATTTAGCGCTGGAGCTATGAGGCCAACATTGCTAACAAATACTGGAATAATCAATAGTCAGCTTTTTGGTAACTACATCCCCAAAAGTCGAAGTTGCTTAAATTGTGTCCATTGTTTGTAGTGTGCATTAAGTCATACTGTGACCTAAACCACATCGACAAATCTGAGCAACCATAATAAAGACCTGAATATGATTTGAGTGGCTTGAGATATATTTACGAAAAAGATTTGGGTGACTATTGACTTCTAGTGTTTGTGAGCAACATTAGTCTTGTAGTTCCAGCACTAAACAAAAGAAGTAAAATTTGGACATCACATGTTTCTTGGCTGATTCTGGGGTAAATGGAAAATTGAGTTAAGTACTTTTCACTGAACCATTCTCTTAAATAAAAGGACTGTTCATCCATCTAAACCATATACTGTTAATGTGAATTCCATGTGATGTCAGGAGAAATGTGTATGGTTCTTATTAAGCTTATTTGAACTTGAGTTATATAAACAATTCCTATGTATTAAAAACGTAAATGTAATCCGATTTAAAGAATCATACTATTTAACCCCACATGTTTCAACAGATAATGTTTAAATATGATCACTCTTACTCTGTTTGAAAGAATATAACTGTAAAGAAATTTCATTGTTTCATGCTGTTTGTACACAAACTAAGAGTTCACCTAAGCTAAGAGTAGCAATCTTTGCGAATTGGCTACAGCTATTACACTTTTTAGCATCAATTATGAAAATTAGATTGTAATGTATGACATCTGGATCACTTTTGTAGATTTTAGTAACTTTTATCTGTGGATGCCCTTGATTAGTTAAATTCTTTCATTTTTATATTTGCATTGAAATCTTGGTTGTATGTAATTGATAGTGTACTACTTTTCTGTATCCTGCTCAATTTATTAACTGTGTTGCAGAATGAAATAAATACACTGAAAATATTTGATTTTTTTTTTATTATTATAGTTGTTTCCCAACCCTGGTCCTTGAGGCTCCCTGCCCTGCATATTTTAGTGCTGTCAGTGTTTTAACACCCCCACTAGGTAAGAAGTTGATTAGTTTTATTAGGTGTATTAGGAGCATGAAATTGTGCAGAGCAGTGGGCCTTTAGATGTAACAGTCTATAAGTATTGAGAATACATATTCAGAACACAGTATCATTATGGCATGTAGCAAACATGCTCATTAGACAAACTCTAAAGAAGATCTTATTTAATGGCTTCTTTACAAACACTTAAGTTCCTACTAAAGCCTGAGCAGACTGATAAATAATGGTGGTGATGAGTTAAGAATCTCAGTGTTTTTGAGCTCTGCTAAAGCCTGAGTAGACTGATAAATCAATGTGATGATCAGTTATTAATCTCAATGTTACTGAGCTCTGCTAAAGCCTGAGTAGACCGATAAATCAGTGTGATCAGTTATTAATCTCAGTGTTACTGAGCTCTACTAAAGCCTGAGTACTGGTAAATCAATGTGATCAGTTATTAATCTCAGTGACAGTGAGCTCTGCTAAAGCCTGAGTAGACTGAAAAATCAGTGTGATGAGCCAGCTGTTTATCTCAGCATTACTGAGCTCTTTTTAGGGATGAACTCTTTTTAGGGATGGTAGGGTGATTACGAGGGCAGCAGTGGACTCAAGCAGGAGAAAAAAATGTTTAGAATTTCAGAACATGTAATGTTAAGTGAAACACATTAACGAAATAATTACCGGAAGAAAACTGCCAACCACTAACAGCAAGAAAGATAAAAAAAGATCCCATGTGCCTTATCAAGATGTATTCTAAGTGTATTCTGAATTCGTTACTTATTTATGTGTTGTAATGGAACGCATTACTGAATACATTTAAGTGTATTCAGTATTCAGCCATCACTACGTTTTCAATTAATTTCGCCCAAATCTGCATTGCACTGCACTGCACTGCACTATAGGCCTGCTGGGCCTCACCATTTAATACATGCAGCTCCCAAGATTGCCAGCAGGTGTCGCCATTTATCCACTCATTAGCTACAATCTCGCTTTTCTCCCCGGAGCTCGTGCACACGCTCAAAGTGCTGAATCTTTCAGAGAAGACAAGTGGAGAAACTCCCTCCTGTCTGCTCCTCCTCCTTCTCCTTCTGCTCCTGCCGTCTGTTCTCGCGCACCTCCGCCTACAGGACTCGATCAGCTCGCGCTCCCGGTAATGGATAAAGGAATTCTGTGGGAGAGCCGAGTCCTCCCAGTGCCCTAACTAGGACTGAAGAGCTCCCCTCTCCTCTCCTCCGCTCTTCTCTTCCGCCAAACTCTCCGCGTCCTCCTCCTCCTCCTCCTCCTCCTCCTCCTCCGCCGCGGGAAGTTTTCGGAGGCGCCGCGCGCCCGCGCTGCAACTTTGGCGAGGCGCGAGCGCGGCGCTTGGGCGGGCGCGTGCGGCTCCCGGGTCCACAGAGGAAGAGGAAAAAGAAGAGGAAGAAGTGAATCGGACAAAAAAAGAGAAAGAGGCGCTTTTCTTCGCAGGTGATGCTTTTCTCGGGAACGTTGTCTCGCAGTGGAGATGGTGATGAGCCTTTGACACGGCCGGAGCTTTTGATTCTCACAATGGAGCGCAAATGAGAGGCTTATCTACGCGGCTTTGCTAACAGCTCAGCGACAGGTAAGCACACGCACGTGCACTATACGAGTTTAGAGAATTTGTTTGAGATGCGTATATTGAGTGCAAGTCTAGCAGGGAATTGAGAAAGACAAATGCATAGCCCGTGTATATATATATATATATATATATATATATATATATATATATATATATATATATATATATATATATGATGTATGTATATATACATATAAAATGCACACTTCAGTGAGTTCTACTGGGTTGAAATTACACAGAAATGTTCACCCCTGCTAGAAAACCCTGCATGGGTGGTCAGCAGGTGTTGTGTTTTGGATGCTAGTATACTGGTCAGCAGCAGTGGAAGTTGATATGTTGATCACCAGCAAAACCAGCATGTTGTGTTCTGGATGCTGGTATGCTGGTCAGCACCATGACCATGCTGGGTGAGCAGCTAAACCAGCACTACACCAGTGTGCTGTTTCTTCAGTAGGGTAGATATTCAGCATGATGTGTTTCAGTCTATTGCGGTGGAGCAAAGTGAAAATTTGGGGGCTGATTCTGAATGCAGTTTATTAGTGCAGGAGGCATCACTGAGGCGTTTGTACTTACACTTCCAACTATGACAAGTACAGCTCCACTATCACAGCAGATATTATACAGCTGCGTTTCACACTTCCTGCACATTCCTGGCTCGGTGGAGGACTGTAGAGATTGCTGTCAAAGCTGAGAGGACTGATGACTACACCGAGGATGATGATGATGATGATGATGATGATGATGAGGTTGGCAGTGATTAGAGAGGCCACAGGAATTAGGATGGTGATAAAAGTGGAGGCAGTGTTTGGATTGGTATTGTTGATGAAAACACCAGCTGGAACGCTCAAAGCTTTGTCTGAAATGGTGTAGAAGGAAACCTCTCCTGGTTCTTCAGTGCTGCTCCATGTATCTGACTGCATTATGCCCAACAGTACTAATAGCTGTGGGTTCCATAACATATTCACAGTAACAAGGAATGGATTCTCTGAACAGTCATGGACAATCAGGTATGACTTCATTAAAGAACAGACGACTCTTATCAGTGCTAGAACTCAGCACCAGTTATAACCACAGTTGATAACAGTTGTGACCAAATACTGCTGACCATGGTGCTACATTAATTGTGCAAAAGAAAGAAAAAACACAAAAAGGAGTGTGGAGAAGGAAAGATCTGCTTTAATCTTGTCAGAAGGATCAGCCATGGCTTCACTTGCTCCACGCTCTCCTTCCCCTGCTCTAACCCCCCCTCCTCCGTGCGTTCATCTGCCCTTCATCTTCCTTTTTTCCGCGCCTCTTGTGTGGTCAGCTGTTTTTTTTTCCGCAATTAGTGCCATCATCTTGTTTCATCCGGTGGAAGAGCGGCGGGAATAACCTTACGGCGTTGATACTATTCGCCCTTGATTAATTGCGGTCCCGAGACAGCGGGGGGAAAGGTGCCGTACATCTTCTCTTTCACACCCCGTGACAAGTGACCCATTACAGTGTTTTATAGATCGCCGTCAGCAGCCCTTGAAAACGCCTGTGGGCCCTGCTGGCCGATGATTCTATTGTGTCGTGTTATTTGTGGGAATTGCTGACGGCTTAGAGCAAAAGGCCGCCACAGGATTCTTTCTTCTCTTTCTCTTTTTTGGACAATACAGTGGAACATTGAGCAGGGCTTCAGTGGGCGTCTCGAAACAAACACTCAAATATGCTTTGTACCAGTCCAGAGTGTGTTTCCACTGTTGTGCTATTAAATAATGACTGAAGTTAGGACTTAATGGGATTGGTAACCGGTCTGGTAACCAGTGTGCTAAATAATCTGTATATGTCCTGAAAATGTAATTTCCTTGTATATTGTTTTTGTAATCACATGTCAAATTACGTTATATTCACTTTTAATGAGCGAATTTAGCTGCTTTAAGATGCTTCCATTGCGCATACACAGCTTGTATAATCAAGATCAAGGTCAATTTTGGCTTGTAATAGATGCATAGAATGAATAAAAGAATGAATTAAATTGTCAGTCACAGTCATTTATATGGCAGTTATAATCAGCTAATATTTCATGATGATGTTTTTATTATTTACATGATTTTAAAAGGCCACTGTTACACATTTTTCATGATGAATGGAGCAATAAAAGAGGTCAAAAATTACTTGGAGTAAAGTTGTTACATTGACTTACATTAAAGTTATATATTTGGAGATAGAAAGTTTTGTCACAACAGTGATTTATGAATCTGGGCATGATGATGCTGTTTTTGAATAGAAGCAGATTGTCCATTTAGAAGACAAATCTTAAAGTTAACCCCTTAAAATCTAAGGGACTTTTCTGCAGGCATACATTTGAATTTCTCACTCTTATAATGACTTAATTTACAAATTAGTCACTTTATCATTCATAGCAGTTAATTAATAAGACGTCTTGGAATGAATACATAAAAATAAGCCTGCTGTTTAAGGGGTTAATTCATGTCTCGTGTGTAGTTAGTGTGCTAAACGTGCAGTTTCTGTTTTAATGGTGGTGCTTTACAGTCTTTTTTCAAGATAAGCGGAACCCATTAACTCCAGCGTGATAGCCTATTTCTCAGCCACAGCCAAGTTTAGGAGCTGGGTGAGACAGAGAAACCTCAGGATAGGTAGCGTGCAGGGTAGATATATGGCAGGGTAATACATGGGAGGACCTCTTCTAATGGCCTGCCAAGACAGGTCAATGCGGCAGCCGTTAATGGTAATGAGATGACAAGTGACTTTTTACAGCCGTTTACACTGGTAATGAAACAAGACTTAACATTTGCTTTTAAGTTCAGGTTAATTCGGAAAGGACTAATGAGTGGTGCATCTACAGATGGAGCGTGTCCACACGTTTGATTCCCCTCTGTGAATGTGTGCGTGGTAGTGTTTGGAACAAGCGCCTGCATGTGACTCACATCTGGCATTACAGAGTGACACATGCGAATCTAAACTTTCTTTGAACAGGTGTAGTTGGAGTTGGTTGCTTCAGTCGCTTTGCTAGCTTCAGTTGTTCAGTTTCGCTGTTTCTCCATTTTGGGCTAGCTTTCATTGTGTAGGCAGATTTTGGATCAAAGCTCAGGGCAACTTTGGCTTGCAGCGAGCGTAGCCTAGGATTACTTTACATGCATGAGATGGCAGATGATTTATTGCAGAGGTGAGAGGAGACGAAGCGGAGGTGCGAGAGGCACATCCAGCTTGTTTTGTTTCTAGCGGAACAGCAGAGCACTGGTGTCCTTACCCTTTAGCCCACTATTGAATTTGAGAGGCGGTAATTCAGGGATATTGCTTTGCATGCTTGTGTCAGTGCACGAGAGCAAAGCTGGATGGATTTGCCTTTGTCTTTGAGCCCTCAAACTATGGCTCGGCCTCTCTCTGATTTGGACCGTTGCTGTGTCAAATTGAAATCAGTGCAGCCGGCGCAGTTTTGGATCTGTAAGCAGCACACGAGAGCGATGCAGTGCTGTTGCAAAGGAAAAAGAAAACCCTCTCTACTCAGATGAGATGCTTGCATTTTCACGCTGACATCACACACAGTGCTGCTAAACCAGCTTGGAGGGGAGGTTGCTTCTGAGTGGTGATCCAAGATCAGCTTTTTCTTTCCAATGTCAATTTGGAAAAAAATACACCAATATTACCCCCTTAAAACATAAGGACCCCTGTGCAGGATCAAATTTTAGTTCTTCACTCACAGGTTACGCACTGAATACTTCACATTGTTGACTATTGGTGAGCCTGTGCCTGTGATAGCAACTCTAATTCAGCTAACCGTGTGGAAAGCAGTTAAGCTAGGACCGGGGTGGGTACCTTCTTTGCTTCACCTTTAATTTTTTTTCCACACAGCATTTTATTTACACATACTGCAATAATTACAACAAAGATAACAGTAATAATAGCAATAGCTTTGTGATGGTTCCCAACATTTAATCAGGCACTAGAGAGCTTTTTTGTCCAGTTGTACAAGACCTGAGATGATGCAGCATTTTTCCCGAGACCTTAAGCCATTTTGTCTGAAACCTGAAGCAGTGGTCTAAAGATGTCCTAAAATGTACACCATAACATGCACAGGCATGATATCTCAGTACATCCCCCACCCCCCACTAAGGGTGTTTAACCAGTGCAGCACAACAGCACCATTTTCATATGAATATTAAAATCATGTCTTGGCTCTCGTACATGAAGTGAAACGGGCCATTTCAAATGAAGTTGACTTTCGCACGGTTCTTTCGTACTACATTAATTACATTAATCAGTTTTGTGGCTAAATTAAAGATAGCAGTATATTATGACCCAGCCGAACTGTGCTTTTATTATGTTCTTTTAGTTAACAAAGATTAAGCTGCAACTCACACGCTATCATTTTGTCTGCTCTCGTCTCACTTCAGTGTAAGGGGCCATCAAAAAATTACAGGACAAAAAGAGAAAAAAAAATCCCAAGCCTGGTTTAACTTACTGCAGTCACTTTTCGCAAGTTACCATACACACATGTATATATATATCCACCTTAAATGATGTAGCAGTTACGTTCAGATGCCTGTAAGGATGTTACTTCAGCGCATTGAGTCATTACAGGTGTGTCAGGCCCACCATCGCAATATGCTGTAGCCTAGGATGATTAGGTTTAGGTGTTTAAGATTGCGGTGTTGTTTTTCCTCATCTTCGCACATCAGCTGTTTGATTTAACTTTCATGTTGTCTTCATTTGGGTCTGCCCGCTGTGGCAGTAATCTTTGTTTTTGGCTTCAATAAATATCAGGTTTTTGTTTGTTTTTGGTTTCAATAAATATCAAGGTTGCACATCTTTAACTTTGTAGGTTTGATGTTGTACATCCCAGCTGCCTGATTTTCACTTAGTTTTGTTCTTCTCTGTGGAGAAGTTGTGTCTGTGGTGAGTGTATCTGGGCAGAAGTGTTGGAATATGTAGGATGATGACTGCACTAATGTTAGGAGTAGCCTATAGCCTGATGTAAGGACATAGCAGGACATTAGCGGATTGTGTGTGTGTGTGTG